GCTTCTCAATGGGTACAAATTTTATCACCGAGCCCTTTGCCAGTTTGGGACAAAGCCTTTTATTACATTAGCACGACACCCATAGTGTAAATGATTGGTGAAAGCGTTGTTGTCTCTACGTGTGTGAGGATACAGGTGGATCACTCCTGCCCGGGGGGGTTGTGCTCTTTGCAGTGAGTATCGTGGTGGTTACCGTAGCCCGCTGTTGATAGTCACACCGTGCAGGTGCCATCAGCCCACCTACTAACCCACCAGTTCAACAGGGACGTGGCGTAGTCTTGCCCTTCTTAATTTGCCGAAATAAAGCACGCGTTGCCTCCTGATGAAGCTGTCTGTAAAGTGATTCTGTATCCATGTAAATAAGATGGACTTCATAAAGATATTTAACACGTGCTGTGCCTTGCTGCCTCGTCTGCTCTTCCAGCCTCCTGTCACCCCCCTTCCCCACCCCAGTCACAGGAATTAAGGTCTCAGAGAAGACAAGGAGATGTCATGAGGACTTCTCTGGTGGCTGCCACTGATTTTAAGCACAGTTGCAGAGTGCCAGGTGGTGTGAGCTGGAGGGGGGCGGGGGGGGAAGGAGCTTTTTAAGTCTTAATCTCTGCGGTTGGATAGTCTCAGAAAGGTTTTACTCGACTCACAAGAACAGTGCAGTTGCAGAGTGCCAGGTGGTGTGAGCTGGAGGGGGGGGGGGAAGGAGCTTTTTAAGTCTTAAATCCTACAGTTGGACGGTCTTGGAAAGGTTTTACTCGACTCACAAGAACAGTGAAGTGCTTTCTCTACACTTAAGGGCCCTGAGGCCCTACACCTTCAGCCCACGGAGTGGTGCTGCCTGCTCAGAGCTGCCTGGGGAAGAGGGAGATCCTGGGAAAACAACCCGCCACCACCCTACAACCCTGAAAACACCCAGAATCGCTAAAGAAACACCTCCCTGAAGATAGTGGGTAAAGGGTGTGCTTCTCCCACACGCCTCCTGCAGCCTTCCCTCCTGTTTGAGGTTCTCAACCCAGTTGCAGGAGAGCCCTGGAGCCCACGCATGGACCAAAGCTCTTCCCACCTCCTGCAGCATGGCTCAGCCTCCCTGGCCAGAGCCCGCTGCAGAAACTGGGGAGGAAGAGGAGGGAGGGAGGAAGAGGAGAGGGGGATCAGAAGGCGGCTTTGTTATCCGCCACCCACTGAGAGAAGGTGCGGGCCTTGGGGTTGAGTTTCATGGTGAGGTCCACGTTGCGGTCGGGCTTCATGGCGTAGAAGCGGAACATGGCAGCCATCTCCTTGGCCCCGGGGGAGCCGCCTTTCTCGTACTCCTCAGGGGAGAGCTGCAAAAAGAATGGGGCAGAGGGGGGAAAAATACCATTTTCAGAGGCTGTGGAGGCCTTTTCCTTCTGCCTTGCGGAGAAGCTGAAGAGCTGTGGGGCTGTTTGCACTGGTGAGGAGGGCTCTGCTGCTCACTTGGGGTTGTATAAAGGAAAATCTTCTCCAGAGCCCAGTGGTGGGAGGTGGGATGAAGCAGAGCACTGTCTCATGGTCAGTCCTGACCCCAGCCCTCCCCAAAGCCCACCCTTCCTCCAAGTGCAGTGTGAGAAGGGGTCAAGGCAGTGGTGAAATCACGCTGCAGAGGCTCAGCAGCTTGTTCTGGGTCTGTCCCCAGCCTGTTGCCCCCCCAAAAGTGGCAGCCACCAGCAGGGCAGTGCCACCGAGCACCCTGCAGTTGTTCCCCACCTGGCTGGGAACACTCCAGCACCCGGCTCTGTCACCCAGCAGGGGCCTGGAGCAGCCACGAGGGAGCCCTTTCTCTGCACGGGGGCACAAAGCATGGCTCAGAGGTTCCAGAAACCAGGATCCAGGAGATCTCTGGAGATCCTGAGCAACCCAGGCTGGTAGCCCAGCACCCGCCCTCCCTGCCCCAAGAGAAGGGTGACACCCACCGCTTCTGTGCTGGGGCCCTGGGAAGAAAAGAGCTGCATATTTGTCCCTGGGAGAGGAGAGCAGAGCAGGACCTGCAGGGAGCATCCGAGATGCTTTGTTTCTGCTGGCACAAGCTTTGCTCTCACAGGGAGGTACCGCACCCCTTGCCCATTGTACCTCCTGCCCCAAGGGAGCAGCCACAGCCAAACAAAAAGAAGTCTTGGGGCGAGGGAGAGGCGCCAGGAGCGCTGTCAGGGTGACACAGCAAACCTGCTGAAGGAGGGGCAGGCACCAGAGACCTGTTCTGTAGGTGCCACTGCCTGGGTTGGGGCTCTTCTGGAGACCTCCGGTTCCAGTTATCCCTCAGAGCCAGGCACGGACCTGCCTGGGCACACCCATGCTCTCCAGAAGCATTGTCCCAATGACAATACCAACAAGGTGGCTTTGGGGTCACTGTGTGCTCCAGCTCCACACAGGGGCAGCGGGACTCATCCTGGACACCAGCTGGGTCGTACCAAACCCTTACACCAAGTTACAAGGTCCCTCCACCCCAACAGCTCCTGACTGGGACGCTCATTTTGTCACTGCTGTCCCTTCTCAGCCCCCATACAGGACCCCCCATGATTCCAGCCCAACAGGAGAGGCTGGGAGTGCTGCTGCCAGGCCTGGGCAGGGACCTGTGGAGGATCTAGCTGTTGGGAATGTGCAAGGATGGTCTCACCACCTCAAGAACATCACAAACACCAAGGGACACCTCCTACCTTGCTGGCTTTCACGGTCTTGCCCGTCTGCTGGGAGAGGACGGCGGCGTACTCTGCCTCGGTGAGCTTCCCCGTGCTAAGCCCGATCATTCGGCCAACGTACTCTTCCGGGGACTTCAGCAGGGAAACCACAACAGGCCCCATGTCCTCCACCGCCATCCCATCCATGGGGGTGTCCCCCATGGGCAGTGCTGTATGGGAGAGATTGATTTCGGTCAGAGAACAGCCTAGCTCCGAGGAGGTGGAGCTGGAGATTTTTGGCACCCAGGCTCTTAACATGAGGTGAGGAAGAACCAAGAGCATCCCATCTCATGGCAAGCCAGGAGAGCACCTGTAGGGCTGAGCTAAGAGACCACAAGCAGCACCGTGACTCTCACACATGGACAGCCCTAACTCCGACATCCCAGCTGCAGGGAGGAGGGGGCTCCAGAAACACTCTGGGACACACAGAGCAGCCCTCAGCACTGGAGACAGGACTGGGACCTCACCGGTTTCTTGCAGGCCACCAGAGAGGTCTGAAGGACCATAAAACGTAGCTGCAACTCGCTGTGGCCAAGTTGGCACAGGCCTGTTTTCCCCATCAGCCTGCAGCCCCAGTGGTTCCTCCACCCCTCAGTGAGCCTGTGCCCAGGGGGAGCACAGAGATGAGAACTACAGGACAGTGACCCGGAGAGCCAGAGGTCCCATCTTACCCAGGACATAGCTATCTCCCTGCGGGGCCTTCTGTGGCTTGAAGGTGGAGAGGAAGTTCTCAAAGTAGAACGGCAATCGGACGGATGTGGCGTTAGCACCGATGTTCTGGAAGTACTCCTCCACCTCGCCTTTCCCGTCGAAGTGCTGCACCTCCAGCTGGCCCCCTGTCAGCTTCTTCACATTCTCCAGCCCACTGTACACCACGTGGCGCAGGCCCAGGCGCTTCGACAGGTCAGCAAGACGCTTTCCCTGGGTGACAGGTGAAGGTGGCCATGGAGACATGGAATGGGACACATGGGAGGTCTCATCATCCCCCCCAACTCCTTCCCCTTCATTGCTCTGGGCAGGTGGTGTCCAACACACGCCAGCTGAGAAAGGTCCTCAGCATCTGGCACCCCAAACTCCTCAGCTGGAACCAGGGCTGAGCAGACCCCACGAGGCCCATGAGTTCCCCAGGTGGAGCAGAGTCTTCTGCTGACATCATCCTACATCAGAAAGAACCACACACCCTCCACCTTTGGTGCAAGCACGCAAGCACCAGCCCTAAAGATTTGCCAGGGCCAACATACCTGCCCTGACAAATCTTATCTTTTGTTGGCTGCTGTGCAGGTGTGGCAATCGTCCCACCACGGGAAACCTGTCCTGGGGGTGAACACCGCCCTCGGGATTTCTGATACCACAGTGTATTTTGGCCCCAAAGTTGGAAGTGCAGAGATCTACAGTCCCAGCTCGGCCCCGGGAAGGCTCTGCAGAGCCAAATCTTTCCACTCCTGCTACTCTGACTCCCCGGCAGCGCTCTCTGACACACCAACTCTTGTGGCACTTTGCAGCTTCCTGAAGGAAGCAGATCCTGGAGCCACCTGACCATGATGGAACAGGGAACAAGCTCTGGCTTTGCAAGAACTGGGACCTGGTTTGTTTGTGAGGCCTCCAGACTTTTCCAGACTGGCCACTTGAACCATCAGGGCTGCATTAAGAGCTGTTCCCATCCATGACCCCTCTCCCAGGTCATTCCACACATGGTCCCAGTTAAAGCAATCACAGGTACCTGTGCGATTTCTTTCTCTTTGCTGCCGTGCTCCCAGAAGTTGGTGACAACAAAGGCTCCGTAAGCACCCTTCAAGGCCAGCTCCAGGGATGGCTCATCGTCCAGATCCGCCTTCACCACCTCAGCTCCTTTCTGCTTCAGCTCCTCTGCCTCCTTCTTCACGGGGTTCCGTGTCACCGCACGGACCTTAAAGGTCCCATCTTCCAGCAGAGCCCGGGCCACGCGGCCCCCCTGAGCCCCTGTAGGTGCAGACCTGGTCAGAGCCCCATCTCCCCACAGGGCTCTGCTGATAAAGGGAGCTGGGACCAGCTGGGGCTGTGGGATGGAGCCGTCTGATCCCCGCTCTCCCTGGGGCACAGTTGGTTTAGAATGACAACTTTTAAACAGCTGAGTCCATGGCAGTTTCAGCTTCTCTTTCTCCTTCCAGCCCCTCAAGGGGCTCCAGAAAAGCTGGGGAGGGACTCTGGAGGAGGGAGGGGAGCCCTAGGAGAAGGGGGAAGGGTTTGACCCTGCAAGAGGGGAGATGGAGCTGAGCTGTGGGGAAGAACTTGTTTGGTGTGAGGGTGGTGAGAGCCTGGCCCAGGTTGCCCCAAGAAGCTGTGGCTGCCCCATCCCTGGAGGGGTTCAAGGGCAAGTTGGAGGGGGCTTGGAGCAACCTGGTCTGGTGGGAGGTGTCCCTGCCCAGGACAGGGGGTGGCACTGGGTGGGCTTTAAGGTCCCTTCCAACCCAAACCAGTCTATGGCCCCCTGACCCTCCGCTGGGCCCCAGAGCCCGGGTGGCCTGAAAGTTCCCCCTGCCTTGTGCTGGGGGGGTCCGAAGCCCCTCTTCCCCTCTCCTCCCACCCGGGGACCCACTCCCCCTCCCCCAAAACCCCTTCCCCGGGCACTCACCGGTCGCCCCGAACACCACGATCAGTTTCTTCCCAGCCATGAGGCAACGCCGCCGGTCCCGGGGCTCTGCCGGGGCGAGAATCGGGGAGGTCGGACCACCGTGCGGGCCCGGCGAGGCCACCGCTCGGGGGGGACCTTCCCGGGACACGGGAGGGGGGCAGCGAGGGCGGGGGAAGGACCGGGGAGGCTGCGGGGACCCACCGCCGGGCTGGACGGGGGGCAAGGGCGGCGCGGAGCCGCGGCCCCTCAGGGCGGCGGGGGTATCCTCACCTCACTTTGGCTCGGTTCGGTTGGACTCGGCTCGGTTCGGCTAGACCCGGCTCGCTTCGGCTGGACCTCGGCTCGACCCTACAGCGTTCGGCTCGGTTCGGTTCTGCTCGCCTCCTCCCCGGCTCCGCTCGGAGGTGTCCGGCTGGGCGGGCCTCACCTGTCCATCCCGCCCACCTGGCCACGCCCACCCCCGCCTGGCCACGCCCACCCGGCAGGATGCAGGGGACCTCGGCCGGCCACCTCGGAGCATCCATGGACCGGGCCACCCTCTTCGTCCTCGGTCACCCGACGGCCACCGCCCAACCAGCCCCTCCCGAGGTCGCTAGGGGCTGTGCCCCCCCACCCCGGCGGCCTCCTGAGGCTCACAGACCCCCGCGCTGCAGTAGCAGGAGGGTCACGGGTCCTCTGGTACCCTGCTCCCCATGTTTCATAGAACTGTCAAGGTTGGAAGGGACCTTTAGCATCATCGAGTCCAACCATCAACCCAGCACTGCCAAACCCACCACTGAGCCATGTCCCTCAGCACCACCTCTGCCCAGCTGTTAAATCCCTCCAGGGATGGTGACTCCACCACTGCCCTGGGCAGCATCTTCCAAGGCTTCACAACCCTCGTGGTGAAGACATTTTTCCAAATATCCATCCTAAACCTCCCCTGGTGCAACTTGAGGCTGTTTCCTTTTGTTCCATCGCCTGTTCCTTGGGAGAAGAGACCGATCCCCCCCGGCTACACCCTCCTTTCAGGGAGTTGGAGAGAGCGAGAAGGTCTCCCCTCAGCCTCCTTTTCTCCAGGCTGAACATCCCCAGCTCCCTCAGCTGCTCCTCACAAGACTTGTGCTCCAGACCCCTCACCTGCCCTTCTCTGGACTCAGGGTGGGAACTCGGCTGGGGTTCCTTGGGCTGGGAACCTGGCTGTTCCCCAGGAGCATCCCCCCTGCTCCCCCTGGAGATGGGGCGGTTCGTTATCCTCAGGAGAATGACTTCTGCATCCTGCTGAGCTCAGGGGACAGTCCCTGATCACCCCTTTGCCAGGCAACCCGGGCCAGCAAAACAAGCAGAGGCGTCTCTGGGGCTTTTCTAACCACCCCCGTGACTTCTGTTCCACCTCAGGGGGGGTTAGAGATGCCGAGCAAGGGCTGTGATCAGGGTCAAAATCATCATAAGGTTGAACTTCGTAAATATGTCGGGAAATTTGGGTTTGAATCAAATAAACAGCCCAGAAAATCCATGAGGGGTGTGTTATATACAGTTGCAAAGAAATAACTCAGATGCATTAATTAACATAAATGAATAATTGTGAAAGCCCAAGGTACAGCCCCAACTGGGGCTTCTGCACAGTCATTTTTGGATGTGAGGGATCTTTAGTTACAGCTTATTGGGAAGGTCCGATACATATGGGACTTCCCAGATGCCACCTCCTCTTGAAACCAGCCTCCTGACCAGGTGGGAAATCACCAACAGACCAAGCCCTTGAGAGAGGACCAGGTTGCCCCAAGAAGCTGTGGCTGCCCCATCCCTGGAGGGGTTGAAGGGCAGGTTGGAGGGGGCTTGGAGCAACGTGGTGTGGTGTGAGGTGTCCCTGCCCAGGGCAGGGGGTGGTACTGGGTGGGATTTAAGGTCCCTTCAACCCAAACCATTCCATGATTTTATGAAAGGTTTTAACCCCTTACTGAGTGCAGCCCTAGGACCAGCAGAGAGCAATCCCCGGGAGACACACAGCCCACAGCTATGGCTGGAAGCCCAAACTTCTACTTGCCTCCACCTCTCCTCCCCAAACACTCTTCACCCCATGCAGATGACCCGGCTGTGAGCCCAGCCTGTCCCACACCAGCTCTCCACCGTGAGAGCTCCATCACCTCCAACATCATCTCCACCATCAGTCATCAACCCCCCCTCAGCTAGACCTGATGAAGATGTGCAATTACAGATTTAGATGTAGCTTAATTAGAGCAACATTTTAGGTACAAACAGACCCCACCAGGGCAGATCTTCCAACAGGATGGGCTATTTCCATCACTGACTTCTGCTTACTCTGATCTCTCCCAAACCACACCATCAGGAGGAGCTTTTGGCCAGAAAAACAAGCCTCTGAGAATAAAACAGGTGACAAATACCACCGCGGTGTGCGATTATCCCATTTTTTGGTGGGATGTGCTTCCCCCCTCCCCTGGGCACGGTGGCTCTGCCCTGGGACTCATGAAAAGCAGATTTACTTGCCCTGGGTCTCAGTCCTGCTGTGCCACCCTGCCCCACCTGCCTCCAGGGGACCTCTCTGCTCAGCATCTCCAAACTAACAGGATTTGCCTAAACGTCAGCAAAACCTGCTTTAGGATTTACAAATTAAGGTGTTTTTGTTTTTTTTTTTTTCTAGGACAAAAATGGGAAAAAACAATCAATCCCACTTGCCTGAGTGGAGCTGGGGAGGGCAGCTCCTGCTGGTCCTGCTGGTGTGGTGGCTCTGGTTCCTCCTCGGATGCGGCCGCAGCGCTGCTGGGTGCCACGCCATCCACCTCTTCTCACCCACCATTCCAGGGAACCCTCAGCACTGCCAGGAAAATGGCCTCGGAGCAAGGAAAGTTTATTCCTGCCCCTTTATTCCGCTCTTTCAGAATTTGCTCGTGGAAACACTTCCACGCACGGTCCAGCAAAGGGCAAAGCTGCTGCAGCACCAGCCTCTTCCCCGGATCTTCCCAGCGTTCCTGGCCAGTGAGGTGGGCATGTAGGAAAAAACCCTCGGCTCTCCCAGACCAGGTTGAGCTCATGGCCTTATTTTGAGGGAATTCCTTGTAATTTGGGCATTGGGCAGCCTGGTTTTGTGGCTCAGCCAGGAGAAAGCAGCCGAGGTTGGGGAAACGGCCACGCACCGAGCATCCCACCAGCACAGACCCACCGGCGGGGGGTCACGCAGGCTCCGGGCCGTCCCCACACGCTGGTGTTTTTCAGCAGATAATTCGCATCAATTTGCATAGGCGGCAGCTCCGCGCTGACAGGAAGGAAGGTCGAGCGAGACCCGGGGCGCAGGAAGAGGCGAGGAGCAAACTGAAAGAGAGAAAAAGCCACCGGGCTGGAAACGGTGACAACGGGTGGCTGGGGAAGCCGGACCCACCTCCCCCAGGTGCTGCCCCGAGCATCACCCCCACCACCGGGTCCTCCGTGGGTCTACCAGGGCCTGAGGCCACCAGCCAGAGGGACTTTTTCTACCTTGAGCAACCAGGCGAGGAGGAGGAAGAAAAGCTCTGGGGATAAAGAGCGGGGGCCTGGAGGGGCTGCATCCTCCCACCACGATGAGGATGCCCTCCCTGTTCTCCTGCTCCCACCTGGCCCTGGGGAAGGTGGCACAAAGCCCAGGTAAGCTTCTGGGGGGGCTTTGGAGAGGTAGGGGGAGAAGGGGAGGTGTCACTCGGCCCTCCCCTGTGGGATCAAGCTGCTGCAGATCCCTTGCTGCCACCGCCACGTGAAATGGAGTCGCTGGGCCCACACGTGGTGAGGCCACGAGCTGGGCAGAAGGTCCCTGGGACGGGCAAGAGGTGACAGACCACCAGCAGCAGCCGGAAGAGCAGGCTGGTGTGGCACGGCCATGGCTGCTGCTTGGTGGCGCACGGCGCCGAGTCCTCCTGAGTGATGGAGACGCGGGGGGGACCTCGTGGAGGGGGGACCTGGCACTTGTCACACATCCTGTCCCCGTGCCTGCTGCCAGCTGCCCAGAGGTGCAGGCAGCCGTGGGCAGGGTGCCCTGCCCACACAACGCCTCTCCACCTCGTGCAGCGCCAGCTTTTGCCTCCATCTTAATGTCATCTTTATGGCCTCAAGTTGCGCCAGGGGAGGTTCAGGCTGGATATTAGGAAAAATTTTTTCACTGAAAGGGTTCTCAGACCTTGGATTGGGCTGCCCAGGGAGGTGGTTGAGGCCCCATCCCTGGAGGTGTTCAAAAGCCGGGTTGATGTAGTGCTGGGAGGTCTGGTTTAGTGATGATGCTCCTTGTTTGTTGTGCGGGTGTCTATTTTTGTCAGTTAGGTTGACGGTTGGACAAGATGATCTTGAAGGTCCCTTCCAACCTAGAAGATTCTGTGATTCTGTCATTTACTGAATTCATTCCACTCCAAAACCATCCCCAAAACCATCCAAAAAAACCCCCAGGAAGTACGCAAATGGAAAAGGGGGAGGTTAGTGATGTACCTGCCCGTGGCACGTAAAACCATCCCCAAAACCATCCCAAAAAACCCTCAGTATGTACCACAAGTGGAAAAGGAGGAGGTTAGTGATGTACCTGCCCGTGGCACGGTGCAGAGCTGCACCTACAGAGCGAGGCAGCATCCTGGGGCTGTCAGACCTTGAAGCCCAGAGCTGCACCCCCACGTCCCCCTTGGGGAACAGGGCTCATGGCGCCTTCCCAGAGCTCAGCCGGAGGGACCAGTGACACCGAGGTCTCCAAAGCTGCAGTTGGGGCCTTCTTCAGCCCTTTTCCCTGCAGGGGATGTGCAGGGCCCGGAGGCGCAGGGAGCGGGTCGATGTGATGGAGCTCAGCAGAGGACACGCGGCCGTGCCCAGTGGCTCTGCACCCAGAGCACAGGCACGGAGCCTGGGCCAGGCTGGAATTCGTCACCGCATTAGGCTTAATCCTGCTGTTGTTTAAGCACTCTAAGGTCATTAAGGGCACTAGGTATCCTATAGGTACGGGGAGGGGACCAGCTGGAGCACTGGCTGGGTGCTGTCACCCACTGAGACGTCACCAGTGGCCAGGGTTTGACCGTGGCATGGAAAGGTCACCCAAAGCTGAAGGCTCACTTCTCTCTGAAATTAGCTTCGTTTTCACCCATTTGGCATTACCTGTAGATTGATCTTTGCCTTTCCTTGGTGAGATCTGCTGCTGCCATTCAGCCCGGGTGTCCTCCACGGCTCCTCGCCTCCACAACTCGCTATTTAAATCCTGCTGTGTCTGGGCTGGGTTATTCTGTTGAGGATTTGGGGAAAAAAACCACAACAAATTAACACAGGGGGTCACTCTTTATTCACAATAAATTTGCTAGCATTAAACCCAGACCAAAATAAATAGGACTGCTTCTGAAAGTCATATCTAAACTGGCTAAAAACTATCTAAATGAATTACCTGCAAATCTGCAAGTTTCATAATTGGGTATAATGCAAAACGTTTGCTTAATTAACGTAAATTAACGAGGTGAATTCTTTTCCATTCTGCCAAAAGGTGGCAGCCTGTATCCTGTATCCTTCAGGACCTGCTCAACTCCTGGGTTGACGGGGAACGGTTGGAGATGTTGGCTCAGCCAGGCTCCGTTCAGGGTGGATACAAAACCAAAAAGGGCAGGAGAAAGAAATAAGAAGAAAATAAGAAATAAGAGAGAGGAGGGGGGGTGTTGGTAAAGGAGCCTGAGATTCGCCGGAGGAAGCCCGGGGTGTCAGGAAGTGGTGGGAAGGTCTGGCGGGGCTGGTTTCTCTCATGTCTGGGGTGGGGAGACGGATGCCGCGCTGCCGCCGGGGTGTCAACGGCGCCGAGAGGCATCACCCCAGGCTTTGCAGAGCTTGGAGGAACCGGGGCCATGCCAAACCTTGTGGTGATGGGACAGGGGAGAAGGCAAGGGCCGGGTTTCTGCATGTGTGGGGGCACGGAGCTGCCCTGGAGCGGGCATTTCTCTGCCCCTTCAGGCACCTGCGTAACGATGCCATTATTAGTTTGTATAAAAAGCTGTAAACATACCTAAATGCTGCAGATCAGCCCGTTTTCTGACGTTTTCCTCTTGTGGCTCTGCAGTTGTCCAGGAGATCTTGCTTGGCACTTTGGTGCCCATCTAGACTTAGGCACCCTTCAGCCCACCACAGCAGGTTGGGTCCCCAAGGTTCTTCTGCCTGGACAGCCCTGTTCAAGGTGACAACCAGCGTCCCCTGATGCTGCTGGTGAATCCCCTATGGGGGAACAGCCATGGATGTCCCACTGCTAAGCCCGATGTCACCTCGGTGCTGCTGGTGGCTGCTGCGACAGCTCCTGGCGCAGGACAGTCCCAAGTCCTCAGCAGACTCCCAAAGCACAGGGTCATGGATCTGGTTTTTCGGGGGGGATGGCTGTCATATGAACACCAAAGCCACCTCCTGGTAGGAGGAAGACCTGAGAGGCCAGACAGAGCAGAGAGGAAGCAAATATCTGTTATCTCCAGCCATCTGAGATGTTGTGGCCATCTCAGGACTGCCCCTTCATCTCGGATCCCCTGGCAAGCTGCTTTTGGTCCACATTGGACTTCCAGGAGCAAAAGTGCGCGTACATAATTAGAGGCAGGGTTGAGCAGAAGCAGCTATGCGTAGGTCTGTGGTTCCCGGTGTCGATGCCAGGCAGTTTGAATCTTGGAGCAGCACACGTGGTGAGGAAAAACACAGCAGCTGCTTGGTAGAGGGCTTGTCTGTGCTCATGGTCAGGGACCTTCCAGCACCGTGGTTGTGGCTCCCAGGCACGGATTGGTTTGGGACATGGACTGTCTGCCCACAGGCCTGGTGGAACGTTGGGGTGGTGGGACATGGGGATGGTGGGAAGTAGGATTGACACTGCTGGAAGAACACATCAGCATTGACTGGACACCCTCAGGTGGGAGGATTTTCCCCTGGGCTGGGCTCTGGACTACAATAGGTGAAAAAAGCATTAACGCCAAGTTTTTGCCACCAAAATCCTCTATTTCCCTCGCCGGGGCTTGTAGACACCGTTCATCATTTTGGCTGGGTGGCCTCCCACTCTCCAGCTTCTTCTCCTGGCGCCCCAGGGGATGGAGGCAACAAAGCAGGGCAGACACAACCATCGCTGGATGGTGGCTTCTCTGGACACATGTCCCTGCTTGATCCTGGCCAAGCGATAGCTGCAAACCCAGGGCCAAGCTCCGTGCTCACAGGATGGCCATGGACACCACCTTCCAGCCCCAGGGAGGGTGACTCCAGCACTTCCAGAAGACAACTCATCTCAGCAGCCTCGGGATGGGCTGGGTCATATCCTGGAAACATCTCGGATCTTTGTAGGGGTTTCAGAGATTGGCCTTGGCTGGCCTCCACCCTTCAAACAGCTCTTCACCCTCCTGGGATGCAGCCTCCAGCATCACCTGAAACTTTTCCACTGGAAGCAATAAAAAAACCCATCAGCCACTGCATTATTTATTCCACTGCTTTATGAATTCTGCTGCCTGATATTCCTGGGGCTGATGCCTCTGCACGAGCTGCACGGTTTCCAGCAGCGGGATCACATTTTGAAGTAGCACCAGAGGACACCACCAAATAATCCGTGGTGTTGGAGCAGGCTTCCCCCATCAAAGGGGTTTTTCTGGCCCATCGTGCTGCAGAGGAAAGGCTGCAGGGAGCAGCAGCAAATCCCCCTTTCATTCTGGCTGCCTCCTTGGTTCCACACCGAAGATGAGAGACCCGGGGGCTGCTGCCTGCAAAGACTTAATTGAACTTTCCAGGCCAGTTAGAGACAAGAAGACATCAAAGGGTGAAAATTTTGCTGTGAATTGCTCACTGAGCTCCTCTAATTGGTGGCATCTTAATTGACCAGGCCAGTGCCTGGGGGGTGAAGAGCAAGGGGAGGTGCTGCTGCAGCCCTGCTGTTCCCTCTAAGGAGAAAAGGGCTTTGCTGTGGGGCCACCGTCACTGCCAGGGGGACCATGGACCTCTGCCACCGCTGAAACCAGGGGGTCAGAGCTGTGCAGCCGAGGAAGAGTGGAGGAACTCGGGTTTCCCTCCTGGATGGAAAAGATGTGGGTTCAGACCCAGCTACAACAGCACCCACCACCCCTATGAGGGCTTGTCCAAGCCACATGTGAAACCATCTGGGCAGGTGAGGATGGGCTTTGTCACCCAGTGCCCCTTGGACACTTACCCCGCTCTGTAGGAGGTGTTGCCAAGGAGTCTTCCTGTGAGATCCAGCCAGTAGGGTCTGTGAGGGCTCTGGGAGATGCTGTGCCTGGTCCTCCCTCCTGCAGCCTGGCCACCATCCGCACGGCTGGGATACTGCTGGTGGCTGAGCCCTTGTGTGCTCTGGTAGGAGAAACAGACCTCAGCACGGATGTCCTGGTAAGGAGATAAAGGGAAGAGTCTACAAATGGGACATCCCAAGTACCTTAACCTTGTGCTGTGGACCTAACCATGGACCAGAGACTCTACCAAGTTTCCCTGGTGAAGCTACATTTGTTCTTTTTTCCTGGAAGATCTTGGGTTTGACAAAAGAAAGTGCTACCTGGTCCTGTTGGCGAGGCTGCACCAAAGCCCCCACAGTGCCCACGTGCCACTGTGGAGTGGGTTTGGGCAAAGGCAATGCTGTCTGTGGGCAGGGACCTCCTTGAAGTGCCTCTGACTCATATGGATGGGGGTGATCGCGTGGATCTAGAGCATCCTGTAGGCCAGGTGGAGGTGAGGAAGGGATGCTGTGCCAGGCCGCGGGCACTGGGACACTGCATTTGCATCGCTGCCATGATGAGACAGCCCCTGGGGCTGAGAAGTTCCCACCTGGACATGGCCAGCTCCTGGAGATGACTTTGGGGCTGGTGGAGAGGCCATAGCACAGTGCCATCTGCTAACATAGGTGAAGCTGGGAGCACCCTCAGGCCTGGAGGCATTTCCCTCTCCACCTCTGCTCATAAAACAATTGGACTCAGTGAGCAGATACGCTTCTGAAAAATAAAACACCAAACCCTCAGTGTGGTTTGGCAGCAGCCGAGGGGGAGGGAGCAGGTAGATGCTCCTTCTCCAGGCGACGATTCAAGAGTGCTGCAAAAGTGGAGCATCTACAGAGCTCTCTGCAACAGGATGTGGTGTTGGCCACACTCAGCAAGCCCTGACGGAGGCTCTGGACGGTGGTGAGGTGGGTTTGAAACCGAAACGGGCTCTTCATCGCTCTATCTGCTGCCCCACAGCTTCCTTCACAACACAGAGGAGGAAAACACATGAGTGGTTCATGGCCCTGCTGTCCCTCTGGTGACAGCAATCACTGGGTGGCCCACGGATGACACGGGTGCATCGTCAGGGCAATTAATGCAATTAATTGCAGAAAGGCTCCGACATAAGTGGTGGTGGTGAAGGCACCAAGTTTGGGTTCCGTGAGGCCTGGGCACAGATGATGGTCCTGGCTCTTTCCCTGCCAGGTCCACAGCACCGTGGATTCTGGATTCTTAGCCAAAAACTGACAAAACGACCCTTGGTTCCACCACAGTCAGCACCACGTTAGCTCAAGGTGGACTCTTTCCCGTGCTGCTTCTCATGCTTTTCCTCTTCTTTCACCAGGAACATGGATAAAGGCTGAGGAGCCTCAACTGATGCTGTGAGCCAGCCTGGGGGACGCGGGGTGGTCCATGGGACGGCCGTGCTGCTGCCAACACAGCGTTCCTCACCCAGGGATCACCCATGTCACGGGAGGCCTCTGATGGAAGGTGAGTGGTGGCTGGGCAGCTGGAGACACATCATCTCGGTGGAGTTTTGGATTCAAATATGGGACAAGGTGGGAGATCAAGGCACGAGAGTTGACAGTGGTTTCTAGTCCAAGGATCTGGGGACCACTCTGCTGGCACAGGGGGAATGGCTGTCTCCAGAGACAAATGATCTTGCTCAGACTTTTACATCTGCATGGGCTTGGTTTCCAGGAGGAAATTTCATTTCATGATTGTGTTCTTCCGTTTCTTTGACTCCAATTTTGATAGCTGCTGCCTTCACCAAACATCTCCTAACAAAACAGCCTGCCACAGCTTTGGGATGGCATCATCTCAAAGAGGACTTTGGCAGGTCGCTCTGGAGGGCTCTAGTTTACCCTCTTGCTACCCTCAGAGTCAGATGGGCTGCTCCACTGCCACCTTTCCCCATCATCCCTGAGCAACATGCCCAGACCCTTGTTCAAGACTCAACTCTCCCGCTCTCCTCTTCCACAGAGGCTTGGATCAATCGCTACCGCAAGCAGCTGGTGAGGTCCATCTCACCGCAGTTCCTGGAGGAGATCATCTGCTACCTGCGGAAGCTGGACCTCCTCACGGTGGAGGAGGCCAGCCGGGCGCAGGAGGCCAGCTCCCTGCCCGAGCAGGTGAGGGCAGTGGTGGACATCCTGGCTGGCAAGGGCAGCTACGCCTCCCAGTCCCTGCAGAGCTTCATCGAGACCACCAATTCCCAGCTCTACCTTCACATCACTGTCTATGGTAGGCAGTCCACTTTGGACCCAACAAGGGGTGTTTGCACACATGTCCCGGCTGTGGGTGCTTGCTGGAACACCCCAAGATGTGCACAGATCTGGGCAACGTTGGCAGCTCCAATGGGAGTGTCCATGGAAGAGACAGTGCTGCCTCGGGGTCTCTGCTGGGGAAGGACACAGCCAGGGGGTGACAAGGACTCTCTACCACATCTGAGGGACCTTCCTGCAGATCCCTCACTGCCCTCAGCACACTTCTCTGGGCACCCCGAGGAGCCTTTAGTGTCCTCAACATCCAGATCACACCAGTCACTCCCAGCAGCTGCGCTGGGAACAGGGGGACAGCAGGAGGAGGACAGCTGGGCATCCCTGACCCCATCTATTGGTGGCTGCCCTAAATCCAGGCTCTCCTTGCAACCCTCTTGCCAGGAGACATTTCCCTTCTGGTCAGAAGGTTCCAGCTTTGGCTGGTGTCTCCTCTGACTCTCTCACAGCATCATCCCCTGCCTGTCCAGCCTTTGCTGGAGGGTTTAAATACTCTCTCCCAGGGGCCATGGTACCTGAGTCAGGTGAGCAGGACAGGTCCAGAGATGGTCACCAGCCAGGAGTCCAACTCATCAGACAAGTCCATAATGAGGCAGGGCTGAGGTCAAGCTGGGAAGTCAATCCAGAGGTCAGGGCCAGGTCCAGCTATGGCCATCAGGTTAAGGCATAGTTCAGCGGTCACCAGGCAAGCGCAGAGTGATGAGGCCCAAGATCAAGGTCCAGAAGAACAAGGTCCTGCAGGCACAGGCACAATGGTGCTGTAGATAAGTGCTCCTACAACATAGCTTAGGCAGGGGTTGAAGGCCCAGGGTTGAACTTAAATGGGCTCCTGGACCGATGGGGTGAGGCTGGTCAGGGCCATTTAAGCCTATTAGTGCCCTCCAGGCTCTGGCATGTACCTTCTTGCCTGGACGTGAGGGCTCTGTGCAGCTTCCCCTCTGTGTGGGAACAGCAGAAAAGTGAAGCAGCATCCCTCATTTGCATTTGTGGTTACCATCCTCCTCCTCACCCCTCACCGTTTCATTTCTCTCTGTGCAGAACCCATGGTGCAGAAGCACCTGGAGAGCCTCCAAAACTACTATGGGAACGGCTTGGAGACAGGTCCCCTCCAGCGACTCACCAACCTGCTCCTGGTGGAAGGCCTGACTGATATCCAGCAGAAGGAGCATGACATCCTGCAGATTGAAGCCACCAAAGGCCTACGAAATGCATCCAAGAGCATCCCTCTAGAGAAGCTCTTCCTGCCTCTCTCCAAGGTCAGCATCCCACCCCGGATCTCTGTCACCATCGGAGTGGCCGGGATTGGCAAAAGCACACTGGTGAAGCTGTTTGTCTACACCTGGGCAAAGGGGGAGATCAACAGGGACATCATCTTTGTGCTGCCCCTCACCTTCCGGGAGCTCAACACCTACGAGAAGCTCTCTGCAGAAAGGCTCATCTGCCTGGCCTTTCCTCACATCACCGAGCCCAACTGCATCTGGGCGGGAGCCGCCAGGACCCTCCTCATCCTCGACGGCTTGGATGAGTTCAAGACTCCTTTGGATTTTTCCAACACGGTAGTATGCACCGATCCCAAAAAGGAGATCCAGGTGGACAACCTGATCACCAACATTATACGTGGCAACCTGCTGCAGGAGGCTTCTGTCTGGGTCACGTCGCGGCCAACGGCAGCCAGCCAAATCCCCGGCGGCCTTGTCGACCGGATGACGGAAATACGAGGGTTTGGAGCTGCAGAGATGAAGGACTTCTTGGACCAGATGTTCCTTGACAACAGAGACTTATCCGGCCAGGTCTTGCGTCACATCAGGGCTAACAGGTCCTTACACGTCATGTGCACTGTTCCTGGCTTTTGCTGGATTTCTGGCTCCTCCATCGGTTATTACCTAAAAACCAGCACCGATCAATCCCAAGAAACACCCGTGGTCCCCAGGACGCTATCAGAAATCTACTCCTACTATTTTAAGATGGCTCTGAGCAGCGACTGGCCAGAAAAGCCGAGAGAAACCCTCAGGATCGAGCAGGCTGTGAACAACAGCAAGAAGATCGTGGGCAGCCTGGGCAGACTGGCCTTCTACGGGCTGCTCAAAAAGAAATACGTGTTTTACGAGCCGGACATGAAGGCGTACGGCATCGACCTCTCCTTGCTGCAGAGCAGCTTGTGCAGCCGGCTCCTGCTCAAGGAGGAGATGCAGTCCTTCACGGCCTACTACTTCTCCCACTTAACCATCCAGGAGTTTCTAGCAGCTATTTATTATTACACGGCAGCGAAACGGGCACTATTTGACCTTTTCACGGAGAGCGGGATGTCCTGGCCCAAGTTGGGCTTCCTCAACCACTTCAAGAGCGCTGTTCAGAAGTCGCTGCAGGCAGAGGACAGGCAGCTGGACATCTTTGTGCGTTTTCTCTCCGGGCTCCTCTCCCCACAGGTGAACAAGCTGCTCTCTGGGTGGCTGCTGGTGAAGGACGAGCACAACAGCTTCAGGAGCCAAGCCATCAGCTTCCTCCAGGGCTGCCTGAACACCAACTATGACATCTCCTCGCGGACAGTGAACACCATGCACTGCCTGTATGAAATTCAGCACACGGAGATCGCCAAGACTGTGGAAGAAGCCATGAAGAATGAGAGCTTGGCCGGGAAGCTCACCCCCGTGAACTGCTCTGCCCTGGCTTATCTCCTGCAGGTCTCTGACGTCTGCACGGAGGAGACAAACCTCTCCAACTGCCTCACCTACAACGTCTGTAAGAGCCTGCTCTCCCAGCTCCTCTTCTGCCACAACCTCAGGTGAGTCCTGGTTGGATTGCACCAGGAGAAGTAAGTAGGGATGCTGGGCTGTGACTCAAAATCCCGGGTGTCGATGGGAGACATGGGCCACCAACATTGTCCCTCAGCAGAGAAATCTCCTAGGGATGCCTCTGATGCAGCTCTGCTTCTCTCTTGAGTTTTTCCACCTGTGATAGGCAGATGTCACGGGAGGGTAGTCCTTTCTCCACTTTGTTCTCCACATGCTTGCTTTTGCTCTCTCTTTGTGTCTTCCCCAGGCTGGACAATAACCAGTTTAAGGACAACGTGATGGAGCTGCTTGGCAGCGTGCTGAGTGTGAAGGACTGCCAGATCCAGAAGCTCAGGTAGGAGCTGGCCCAGGGCAGATGGGCTGCTCCCGGGGACGCAGAGCAGAGTTGGGGGCATCTCAAAACCAGGGTGAGGGTCCTGGCCCAGGAATGTCTCTCCCACTGGCTCCTCAGGGTGCCTAGTGACAAGGACAACCCCACATGATCTCCTGCACCCAGGCAAGGTGCCCTTACCCTCTGTGTCCTCATGGTGGCTGGGCAGGCTGTCTCACCCAGCCTTCCTGGGACTACTTCCTCCTCGCTGGTCCTAAAAAACAACGTAGAAATCCATGGGTTATGCCCCACAAACTGCTTCCCAAGGTCACGGCTGTTTGCTGGACACCCGAGGCTCCACACGGAGCACCTAATGTATGGAGGGGATGGGCTCCTGAGCCCCCCACCGGGAGGTGCCCACTTTCCTCACCTCCCTCCCCTTCTTCATGGCTGAACAGAGTCCCCCACGCTGTGATCGGAATTCCCTTTTCATGACACCAATGAATTTTAAGTCGAAAAACTCCCCTTCCACCCCTGCCTGAGGTCCAGCCCAGGAGAGCAGACCTCGGAGCACCCACCACTTTGCATGGTTGTGCCACAAACGAAATGTTCCCCATGGCTTTCCTCTGCTCACCCATCCCAGCTGCCTCCTGGAACATGCCAGGGGCTGCAAAAGCCTCTTTCTTCCCCTGAAAAATACCTGATTTTCTTTTTTTTCCGGGCAGCTTGGCAGAAAATCAGATCAGCAACAAGGGAGCCAAAGCACTGGCCAGGTCACTGATGGTGAACAGGAGCCTGATGGTGCTGGAGTAAGTGTTTCCCCTTTGCCAGTTCCTGCCACTCACACCATTCCCATGGCCGCAGCGGGGCCGGATCCCACCCAGCCTGACCAAGCTGGGGAGGGTCTCCAGCCCCCAAAGCCACCACTGCTCAAGAGGTGAATGTAACTCTTGTGAGCTGCCGGCCTGTTGTCCCACCTCAGCAGTGCCGGAGATTGTGCCACATGGAGGGATTTGGCTTAAACTGGGCAGAGGCCACTCCAGCTTTGCTAAATTTGGTTTTTCTGCCCATCTCACCCCAGCCTGAGGAGCAACTCCATCGGCCCCACCGGAGCAAAAGCACTAGCTGATGCGCTGAAAAAAAACCAAGTCCTGCTCTCCCTCAAGTAAGTCTTAACTTCTGCTCTTCTCAACTTCTCAACTCTTCTGAAGTAAGTTTCCGGGAGCAGATCCCCAGGACAAACTCCCCTCCAGCCCTCTCCTGTCCCATCGAGGTTTTCCCCACCTTGAGGATCAGCATGTGGGGAGACCCTGGGCACAACCTGGTTGGGTTGTGCTGGGCAACAAGTATGAGTGCAGCCAGCAGAGACCTGGTGACCATGGGCCAGAGACGTTGGGACCTTCTGCCTCTCAGCTGGTGGAGGTGGAGGTCCATGTCAAGGTCCATCCCCCACGCAAGGTCCAACCTCTCACACCAGGGATGAGGGCAAGCAAATGCCTGAGCAGATGAACACTGGGCATAGCTTTGCTCCTCTCTCCTCGCAGCCTGCAGCACAACACCATCAAGGAGGATGGTGCCACCTTCCTGGCTGAGGCCCTGTTGACCAACCGCAGGCTGACAACCCTACAGTGAGTGACCACGACCTGCTCTCTCTCCTCTCCCAGCCACCCAGCAGACCAAGGTGCCACTGATGGGGAAGTGGCACCCCATACTCATGGGTCCTCTCCTCACCTTTGCAGCCTGCAGAAGAACGCCATCGGAGCCCAGGGTGCCAGGAAGATAGCGGAGGCGCTGAAGCAGAACTGCAGCCTGAAGGAGCTGATGTAAGAGCGGCGTGAGGTGGAGGGATGGTGACACCAGCATCACATCTCCTAGGACCTGTGGGCAGAAGTGATGGGCAGGAGCTGGGCCATGCGATGGGGGCAGGGTGGACTCCACTAGCTTTGCCCGAGGGGGTTGGCGTGGGTGGAGGGGGCTCTTCAGGGATGCAGGGAGCCATGTATAGAACCCAGAGGCCAAGCCTGCCCTCCAGCAGAGGCAAGCGGCTGGTCTCCAAGCCCTGTGAATACATTAAAAGCTGAGTTTCAGCTCAAAACCAACGTACAAGAACAAAAGGTGTAGGGAGATTGGAAACGAGACCACAACAAGTTCATACTTACTGCTGGAGCTGAAGGAGCCTGGGGAGATGAATCCTTTGCCAGCAGATCCAAGGTGGTTGCAGCACGGCTGCAGGTAATGATTGTTCTTCCTCTCGTGTCTTAGACTTTCCAGCAACTCAGTAGGAGACAACGGCTCGGCGTTCTTCCTCTCATGTCTTAGACTCTCCAGCAACTCAGTAGGAGACAACGGCTCGGTTGCCTTGGCTGAAGCTCTGAAGGTGAATCACAGTCTGCAAAGCCTCGAGTAAGTCATAGGATGGTTTGCGTTGGAAGGGACCTTAAAGCTCATCCAATCCCACCCCCTGCCCTGGGCAGAGACACCTCCCACCACACCAGGTTGCTCCAAGCCCCCTCCAACCTGCCCTTGAACCCCTCCAGGGATGGGGCAGCCACAGCTTCTCGGGGCAACCTGAGGGGAAGAAGCTCATGGGATAGAAGGAGACGTAAATGGAGCAGAGCCTGCTCCAGACTTTCCACCCACTTCTGCGTCAACTGTCCACCCCCTGTTTTGGTGGTCCCCCCTCCATGCCTGGTCTCCTGCTTGCCCAGTAGAGCCCAGTCCAGCCTCCTCACTCCAGCATTACCCACTTCTGTGCCAACTGTCCACCCACTGTTTTGGTGGTCCCCCTTCCATGCCCGGTCTCCTGCTTGCCCAGCAGAGCCCAGTCCAGCCTCCTCACTCCAGCATCTCCCACCCACGCCAGGCTCCCTCCCCTGCCTCCAGAGCCCCTTGTACTGCCCCACGTACTGCCCCACATCCTCCCCACATCTCTCCCACCCCACGTTCCCTGGAGAGCCATGAGGCTGTGTGGGCTTGGAGCACCATGCAGCAGCTGGGCTGGCCCTGCTTCCACCAAGGGAGCGCTGAAGGAGTTAATCCTCAACCCAGACAATGATTTTTTTCTGCTTTTGGAGGATACGGGTAGTTTTAGGTCTTCTCTCTCAAAAGTGATGGGAATTGGCTAACAAGGAAGGTAACGAGCTGGGGACTGGCAGAGTCAGGGTGAGATGGTGTGACCTTCATCCCCCTTGAGAACGGCAGCCAGAGAGGACCATTCCTGCCACCCCTCCAAAGCAGAGGGCTGATGGCTCCTGGGGACAAGCTGCTGTTCCCTGGGTCCATCAAAGGACCCAAAGAGTGCAGGAACCGCACACCCAGCTGAGCCGGCAGCCGCAGTGACAGCTGGCTGGGGACACATCTGCCCCAAAGTGCCAGCAAACCCTGTCACCTCTGCTCAGTGGGACTGGTGCTCCAGGAGATGCTGATCCTCATCCGGCCCTTTAGCCTTGGCTCCCTCCTGCCTCCCGTGGCTGGGAGATGCACATTTCTCAGTAAAATGGGCAAATGGGCTCTTTTCACCCCAAACACGACACCGCAGCCTTTCTGTGATGCCAAGACTGGCCCCGTTTTTCATGCCTTGCCCCATTTTTCTCAGTCTCCAGAGCAACTCCATCAGCAGCACTGGGGTCACCGCGCTGACAGCAGCTCTCTGCTCCAACAAGGGACTCATCAGCCTCAAGTAAGTGACAGTCCCTCCTGCCACCCTGGCCAAAAGCTGCTGCTGGGACATAGGATGTGAGGACTTTTCCTTGTGCCTGGTTGTTTCCACAAGTGCTCCGGGACACGGAGAGCAGCCTCTGTCCCTCCTCTGGCTGTGAGCACCTTCCCTCCATCGTTAGCTTTCTCCCCTTGGGACACTGTCAGTTCAGCCATGTCTGGCAACGGAACAATGGCAGCAGGGATGGGACAAAGCCCTGGTGGCATCGGGGATGTAGGATGCACAGGGAATGGAGATGTAGGGAATGGAGATCCAGATGCTGATGATGGGGACACAGGGAATGGAGATCCAGATGCTGATGATGACGACACAGGGAATGGAGATCCAGATGCTGATGGGGACGCAGGGAATGGAGGTGCTGATGGGGATGTTGATGGGGATGGAGGGAATGGGGATGCAGATGGAGACCCAGATGGGGATGGAGGGAATGGGGATGCAGATGGAGACCCAGATGGGGATGGAGGGGATGGAGACCCAGATGGGGATGGAGGGGATGGAGACCCAGATGGGGATGGAGGGGATGGAGACCCAGATGGGGATGGAGGGGATGGAGACCCAGATGGGGATGGGGATGCAGGGAATGGAGACCCAGATGGGGATGGGGATGCAGGGAATGGAGACCCAGATGGGGATGGGGATGCAGGGAATGGAGACCCAGATGCAGATGGGGATGCAGGGAATGGAGACCCAGATGGGGATGGGGATGCAGGGAATGGAGACCCAGATGGGGATGGGGATGCAGGGAATGGAGACCCAGATGGAGATGGGGATGCAGGGAATGGAGACCCAGATGGGGATGGGGATGCAGGGAATGGAGACCCAGATGGGGATGGGGATGCAGGGAATGGAGACCCAGATGCAGATGGGGATGCAGGGAATGGAGACCCAGATGGGGATGGGGATGCAGGGAATGGAGACCCAGATGGGGATGGGGATGCAGGGAATGGAGACCCAGATGCAGATGGGGATGCAGGGAATGGAGACCCAGATGGGGATGGGGATGCAGGGAATGGAGACCCAGATGCGGATGGGGATGCAGGGAATGGAGACCCAGATGGGGATGGGGATGCAGGGAATGGAGACCCAGATGCGGATGGGGATGCAGGGAATGGAGACCCAGATGGGGATGGGGATGCAGGGAATGGAGACCCAGATGCAGATGGGGATGCAGGGAATGGAGACCCAGATGGGGATGGGGATGCAGGGAATGGAGACCCAGATGGGGATGGGGATGCAGGGAATGGAGACCCAGATGCAGATGGGGATGCAAGTCAGACAGGCTGCCCACTGCAATAGATGGTCTCAGCCCCAGAGCTGGGGGGCTAGGGGGGCTGTGGGAGAGCAGCCAAAGTCCTGCTTTGGCTACTCCTTCCCAGCCCCGTGTCTTTCCCCAGCCTGCGGGAGAACTCCATCAGCAAGGAGGGGGGCCCCGCCATCGCCCGCGCCCTGCGGACCAACAGCACCCTCAGGAAGCTGGAGTAAGTCCCGTGGGCCCCAGGAGGGCACCCACGCTGCCGTGCAGCCTTGCTGGAGTTGTCCCAAACTCCGTGTCCGTGACTCGTGTCCTCTGTCCCCTCCCTCCAGCTTGGCAGCGAACCTGCTCTACGACGAAGGCGGCAAGGCCATTGCTTTAGCCATGAAAGAGAACCGGGCACTCACCTCCCTCCAGTGAGTTCCTCTCTCCTTGGACCTGGGTGGTTTTGAAGCTCCTTGTGTGGATGTGGGGCAGGGAAAAATGCTCCCAGGCCTCGGGCTGTGAGATGGGGTCACCCTTCCATGGGAGGTGTGCTGTGCCATCCCGGATGGAGCCATGGGTCACCTCCCAACCTCCACCAGGCTGGATGGGAGTGGATGGGTGCTGAGTCTGCAGGGATTGGGGCATCCTCACAGCCCTGGACTTCACCTCCTCTATTGTCCTGTTTGCAGCTTGCAGTGGAACTTCATCCAGGCAAACACTGCCACGGCCCTGGCACAAGCACTACAGTCCAACAGCAACCTGGTCAGCCTTGAGTAAGTGGGGACATGGGTGGAGAGATCGTGGGCAGTGTCCTTGCCCAAGGATGCTGCTCCAGGGGAGGTGGCTTTGCCTGCTGCCTCCAGTCCATCCTGTGTCCCCATCACATGTCCCTGCCTGGGGATGCAGTAAGTGTTTGGTGGCCCAGGGACCACCCCAAGCCATGCACACTGTGTCCTGTGCTTGATGCCCCTCATAGACCCTGGCCCTGCTCCCGTGGGCCATGGGCAGAGGCAGGACGTGCGTGTCTTAGCTTGCAGGAGAATGCCATTGGAGACGAGGGAATGGCCGCCCTCTCCGCTGCACTGAAGGTCAACACAACCCTGGCAGATCTCCAGTGAGTATCCAAGCTGTGGCAGGGCCCTGGCATTGCAGCCTGTCTAATTAGCTTCTCTAATTAGCACACCACAGCTACCTCATGATGCATGCTGAAGGGTCCTTGTTCTCTTGCAGCCTGCAGGCGGCTTCATTTGGTGCAGATGGTGCCAAAGCCCTGGCAGAAGCCTTGATGGTCAACAAGAGCCTGCAGATCCTGGAGTAAGTGTTTGGTGGGGTCACCAAATCCCTCTGGTTGCGACACCACTCTTTGGGGGTGTCCAAGACCCTGATCCTTAGCTCAGCACCGCTTCCACCCTTGCATCGTGTCCTACCAGACTTGGCTTGCCTGTCCCATGACTCGCTGGCCTGAAGCCACCTCTCCCACCTCCTCCTCTTCCCCATGGACAGCATGGGGCCATCCCAGGCTGTCCTTCCTCACTGCCTGCCTTCCTCTGCAGCTTGCGGGGAAACTCCATTGGTGCGGCAGGGGCCAAGGCGATGGCCAACGCGCTGAAGGTGAACCGCAGCCTCCGCTGGCTCAAGTAAGTGTCCCACTCCCCAGGCTGGGAGCCAGAAAAGAGCTTTTCCAGACCTTCCAGTGAGGGGACGGCCAGGCCAGCAGCTCTCAGTGGGGCAAACTCCTCAGCTGGTGGCTTTTTGCAATGCCCACACCACGCTTTGCCTCCTGGTGGCCACATCTCCCTGGCTGGTGCTTTCTGACCCTCTCACCTCTCGCAGCCTGCAGGAAAACTCCCTGGGCATGGACGGAGCCATCTACATCGCCGCCGCTCTGAAGGGCAACCACGGCCTCACCTATGTGAAGTAAGTGGCTGCTGAGCTGGATGGTAAGGGCAGGGACAGGGGAGACCACTGGAACCATCAAGGGACCATCCCCATCACTGGCACTGCCCATTCCCGGCTGCCCCACAGAGACCACTGCAATGGGGCAGGGGGTAAGGGCATCCTGTGCTGCTCCTGGTGTGACAGCCACCACCCCTGCACAGCTCTAGACCCCACAGCCCCGCTCTGGGGATGTCTCTGGTGTGAAGAACCGCCCCAAATGCCACATAATCTCCAAAATATCACAAGGAAGGGCTGGCTCAGCCCCGCCAGCTCCCCCCCGCCAGCTCCCCATAGGGTTTTTCCACCTTCTCACCTGGCTGCCTCTGGGCTCTCAAACCCAGAGTCTCCTGTGGCCAGGGTCCCAGCAAGAGCTCCTGGATAGTGGGAGAAAGGTGCAGATAATGCTGGTGCAAAGCTGGGGAGCATCTCTTGTAGCCACCAAGGATCCTGCTTTGCCTCACGTCCAAGCCTGAACTCTTCTCCTTGCTCCCAGCCTGCAGGGGAACCACATTGGCCAGTCGGGAGCCAAGATGATCTTCGACGCCATCCGGACAAACTCACCCGACTGCGTTGTGGACGTGTGAGGGTGCCTGGCCACAGCCAGGAGGTGGCCTGGTGGGTCCCTTTGGCCAGTGTGCCCCCCAGGGAGCTGCTGGATTCTCTGCCCACCTGTCTCAGATGGGGCAAGGAGAGGTCCCGAGCTCCCCATCACGGCCCACGAGGAGCTGGGGCCTCTGGATCAGCAGCGCAGGAAGGTCAAGACTCACTGGTGTTGAAAGTTGGGGGATGCATGACCATGTCCCTGTTCATCCAGGCCCTGGGGGAGCTTCAAGGAACGGGTGAAATGGAAAAAGAAGGGAGGAGGGGGCAGATCCCACATCCTTCTTGGTTTTGTAGGTGATTCACCTGCCACCGCCGGTGGCAGCGACCCCCTCTGGTGATCTCCATGGGGTTACAGCCCCAGACCGGGTGCATCCTGACCGCCCTGGAGCTCTGCTCTCCTCCAGCCAAGGGTCCCAGTGCTTTGCTCCAACTCTTCTGCCTCTAGTTGTGGCAGGGATCCCAGGAGAAGGGGGTAAAACACAGGCAGGATTCACAGCCATCCTTTCTTGCCTGGCCCTGCAGGCTGCCCTTGGCATCTCAGAGGGAGGTGAGGTTTGCTGTCTCCTTGCTCAGAGGAGAGCGGTGCCCTGGACCTGGGCACTTCAGAGCAGGGTCCAAGGCAGCAAGTGTTTTGCCAGCCCTCAATAACAGGTTGGTGCTGGCCCAGCTGGCCTGAAGTGTTTGTTGGTGCTGTTCTTCATCAAAGAGAGAGACATCCCAAAGCATAAGATGGTTCCATCTAGAAAGACCTTGGAAAATAAAGAGCCCTTGGGAGAACAGGAGGAGGGTGAACATAAGAGGAACGGCACTGCACAAGGATGGGCCATCTCCAGCACACGTGTCTCGGTGCTACACCAGGACTGCCTTATCATGAAGTTCTGCCTCTCGAGTACAGGCTGGATTTCTTGGGTGTCCTGCTGCTGTCATCGGTGACAAGCTGTGTGACCTTGGGATGTGTCTTCCCAACGTCCCAACTGCAGGCAGGGTCCTCCCCTGGCAGGTCACCTTTTGGGCAGAGGTGCCAGGTGATGCCCTCGTGTGCGTGGCAGGGACCCAGACTCTCCAGAAGGTGCCAGGTTTGCAGGTGGGCCAGTAGCCAAACTACGCAACACCTCCCCAGAGCCCACCTCCAGCCACTGCCCCCTCTCCCACCTTCACCCCCACCAGAGCCCACCCCGAGCCACGCTGCTGCTGCAGGCAGGGACCTCTGTGGGCTGATCCTGGAGAAACGCTGGGTTGAGCTGTGCGAGTTGTACATACTGGGAAATAAATTGGTTCCTAGCCGAGAAGATGCCTTGCACTGCCTTCCTCTCTTGGTCATGGGCCATGGCTTAGGAGGTCTGGGATGCGCTGCGCTCCGCTGCCCCGGCTGCGGACCCCATGCCCTGTGCTGGTGTGACAAGAGGGCTCATGGCTTTTCCATAAGGCATCAGGATGCAGTGACATTGAGTGATTTAAGTCCTACCTCTTCCACCATTATTTCAGGGCAGACTGAGGCTCGGGTCCACCTCTGCCCAAAGCCTGTGTCTAATCCTGACCTGAAACATCACCTGAAACACCAACAGAGAGAGCAATCAGCAACCTCAAGCCAGCTCCAGCGCCCTGGAGCTCCGAGAAACAGGGGGTTAACAACAATTTGAAATCATTTTTAATCCATCTATACGTGTATGCACACACCCAGCTGTACACGAACACTCTGAGGGAGCATTTCCTTTGGAACCAGGGGTGGCTACCAGGAGAGAGCGATCATCAACCCTGAGCCACCTTCAGTGCCCTGGAGCTCCGAGAAACAGGGGGTTAACAACAATTTGAAATCATTTTTAATCCATCTATACGTGTATGCACACACCCAGCTGTACACGAACACTCTGAGGGAGCATTTCCTTTGGAACCAGGGGTGGCTACCAACAGCGCTGCTTTTCTAGCCCAATATGAGAAGCTGCAAAGCAAAATCACAGCTACCCCAAAACCCGTCCTTCTGTGCTGAAAGGCCCTGGTTCTGAGCACACAAGGTATTAAGTCCGCTTTCATTTCAGCCTGCAATATTGAAAATAACATAGAAAACTACCTCTGCAACTGCAGCTCAGATTTGGAGACTGGGCCCAGCCTTGTGGGAAGTCCCTCTCAGGGCTCAGACATATCTCAGCGCTCAGAGGACCAGAACAGATTCCCTGTGTAACGTGGAGAAAATGTTTTAAGAACCTGTAACCAGTGGTGTCCCCCAGGGGTCAATACTTGGTCCAGTCCCGTTCAACATACTCATCAGTGACCTGGACGAGGGGACAGAGTGTATCCTCAGCAAGTTTGCTGATGGTACCAAACTGGGAGGGGTGGCTGACACCCCGGAGGGCCGTGCTGCCATCCAGAGAGACTTGGACAGGCTGGAGGGCTGGGCAAGGAAGAACCTCATGAGGTCCAACAGGGAAAAGTGTAGGGTCCTGCACCTGGGGAAGAAGAATGTCAGGTACCAGTACAGATTAGGGGTGGATCTGCTGGAGACAAGTTCTGAAGAGAAAGATCTGGGGGTCCTGGTAGACAGCAAAATGACAATGCGCAAGCAGTGTGCTCTTGTGGCCAGGAAGGCCAATGGGATCCTGGGCTGCGTAGGGAAGAATGTGGCCAACAGGTCGAGGGAAGTCATTCTCCCCCCTCTGCTCTGCACTGGTGAGGCCACAACTGGAATCCTGCATCCAGTTCGGGGCTCCACAGTTCAAGAGGGACAAGGGGCTACTGGAAAGAGTCCAGTGAAGGGCGACGAAGATGATTCAAGGACTGGAGCATCTCCCTTATGAGGAGAGGCTGAGAGAGCTGGGACTCTTTAGTCTGGAGAAGAGAAGGCTGAGGGGAGACCTTATCAATGCCTTGGTGGTTTGAAGGAGGAGGGAGCCAGACTCTTTTCAGTGGTTCTCAGTGACAGGACGAGGGGCAACAGGCACAAGCTGGAACTTGGGAGGTTCCTCTCAAATATGAGAAAAAAAATACTTCATGGTGAGGGTGACAGAGCCCTGGAACAGGCTGCCCAGGGAGGGTGTGGAGTCCACTTCTTTGGAGATTTTCAAGCCCCACCTGGATGCTCCTGAGTAACATGCTCTGACAAGCTCTGGGTGGTCCTGCTTCAGCAGGGGAGTTGGACTAGATGATCTCTATGGTCCCTTCCAACTCTAAAAAATTCAGTGAAATTCAGTGAAACAAGATTCTAAAGCCAGGATATCCTCCCTCCCTTGAGAGAGGGACTCTAAAGTCAGGATATCCTCCCTCCCTTGAGAGAGGGACGTGGGAAGCACATGCACTTCCTCAATGGCTGTCCCAGTGCTTTGCAGCACTCAGAACATCATCTTGGAAACGAGGTGCAAAATGCCAATTAACTTTACAGCATGCAAGGAAGTGTCCTAACCATCACCTGGCTCAGCTCAAGCCTGGACAGTTGTGTGTATTTCAGCACATCACTGCACCCACGTATATCCCATTACTACACAAAACTTGCACTGTATTTACCTGTAAACTTTTGTCCCACCTTGATGTGACATTTCAAGCTCTGGGCTCTGCCAACGGGGATCTTCCTTGGGTGGGAAGGTGCCACCCTTGGGGCCAGAGACACGGAGAGATGAAAAAGCTGTTGGTTTTTCAAGTAACTCACGTGTATTTCTTCCTTCAGCACAATAATGGAGGGGCTGGGCCTGACTCTAGACTTCAGATGGAGGGAAAAGCAAAGTATTCTGCTGATTTAAAAAAAAAAAGAAAAAAAGGAAGGGCAGGAAAACAGCCTGGGCTCTCCTCTGCCCTGATGAACACACACCAAAACGAACTCTTCTAATCAAGCACTGATTTCTGCCCCTGTGAAGACAAATCATGAGGCTAAAGCAGAGCTTAAAGACAAGAGGCAACACACCAGCCAACCCCCAGGTTTTGGGTTCACCTGGATACGCTCTCACTGATGGCATCAGAGTAACTCAATGAACAAAAGCCCAACTTTTGGCCCATTTGAGTGCCTCAATCTCAGTCCACCCCAAAAGTACCAGTATAATTAAAGGACTAATTTCATACGGATTTAGTTACAGCGCTGTCTTGCACCGGCTGCTCTCAGAATACTCAAGCCCAGTGAAGTTTGAGAACAATTCCCCCTGACACAGCTGAAATACTGTGAGACCCTGTGCTGAAGGTGACATTTGGGGACCCCTTCAGTGCTCTCCCACTCCCTCGGTGCAAGCGGTGCTGCTCTTTGTGGAGGCAAGCCCTTGATTAAGAAAGAGATATGTTTAGGATAAATAGATTTAAGCCAGATTTAAAAGCAATTTAAGAGTGTTCCCAGAGCAGCTTTTCATCCAGTTTTATTAAGCCAAAAAAAATCTGTTTGGACATAATAAAATGCAGGGAAATCAAGCAGACGATACCCACTGGAGTGCGACTTCTGGCACCGCGGTGCGTGAGGGCCAGTTCTAATGCAATTATGGAAATAACCACACTCCACATTACTGTGATTCTCATTACGGATAAACTGCTCATGCTTTGAGAGTCACAAGAGTGGCAATCCAAGTTTAATTTTCAAGTTTAATGAACATTATTTACCGACTCTTGAATTCATGCTGACAAGCGCTTTTCAAATGGCAGGATATTAGCTCCTGGCCCCAATCTCTCCAAAGTCTATATTTCCAGATGCCTCCTCCTCCTGCTACTAAAGGGTCAGAAGTCATTATCGCTTTCCTCTAGTGGCTCTGGTTTCCTTGCACGGTGACTGGATTTGCTTGGGGAAATTTCCATGCTGTCGTCTTCCATATCCTCCTCCTCATCGTCTTCATCTTCATCCAGGTCAATCTCACTATCCCCCGAGTCCTCCTGCATGGAAAGCAAAGAAAATTCAGGACCAGTTCAGTTCTCAGATGGCAAAGCAGCTTTGCTGGCTCTAAAGTAAAGGGTGGCTCAGTCGCTTCCTCCCCTGTGCTCCGTGCGACCCCACACCTGGGGGATATGGGGAAGGCTGTTTGTCTGGACCAGTATGGATCCAGATTTGGACTTGCTCTGGGGAGCAGTGGCAGATTCTGCAAGAAGCTGAGGCTGCTGCACTGCTGGCCTTCCCAAATAATAAAAAGCCAGAGCTCAGCTGCCTCTGGGAGCTAATGGCCCACATGGCTTTCACCAGCAGCTCCCCACTTTGCTAGACAGCGGCTGCTCCATTCAGTTCACTGCAAACCTCCTTCCCCACTTAACAGGGCTGACAAAAACCAAAATCCCTGGCTTCTGCTAAATTGGTCTTATTAAAAGCCTTACAGGGTGTTTAACTTCAAAGCGATAGCTATTGTGAGACCGAAGAATCGAGGCGTAGTGGAAGGAAATGAACTGCAGGAGAGGAACCCACCTGTGCCTTGGTGATGCTCTTGCGCGCGCCTGGTCGTGCCGGGGCAGATCTCCCCTTGGAGAACCAGAGTGGGAAGAACAGGAGAGGCAGAGCAGGGAAAAAAACCAACCAAAAAACAAGCACAAGAACATAAAAGAAAACAGGAAGTAACCATAATGGGAGCAGGGGAGAAGGCAGCAAAGCCAGGTACAGGTCAGGCATCATGTGCCACACCAGCAAGAGGCAGAGGCTGGGCACACAACTGCTGGCTCTTGGGCAGGCTGAAGCTTGCTCTCTTCTCTCTACAACCCAATTAACTCTTTGAGGGCTTCAAACCAGCCTCACTAGTTTCCTCCCCTGTGAGGGAATATATCCCTAAGCAACCTCTCAGCCCCAATGCCTGCCCAGGTGCTGTATTAACAGCAAAAGAGCCGTGAGACAACTCAAGTGGCTGCAGGTGAGGGCAATAAGAGGCTGAAGGCCCTGGCTCTCCACACCTGGATACAATGGGGGTGGTGCCAACAGGGAAACGTGGGGGAAAGCTATGAACAGGGAAGTCCAAAGGGAAGAGAAATTGCAGAGGATGACTGTCCAAATCTGGCGAGACCGTTGTGAAGAACAATCAAGCAGCACCGTGGCTGAGGTCACAACACCTTCACCTACAGCACTGGTGCTCCTGACCCTACCCCACAACGGGTCTGAACACCAAGGGCATAAAGCATTCCCCAGAAGGCCACGAACAGCCTTGGCCACATCCCGTCTGGGAGAAGCCAACAGCAGAGTTATTGGCAAACTTCCTTTCCAGAGAAAAGGTGAGGATGGGCAGAAAGGAGGGCTCATCCCTCTCTAGCAAAAGACTTGACTCCCTGATGGCTATTTATAGCAATATATAAACCCAGGTGCAATGAACACT